GAAGGTGAAAACATGTGGCAATCAAACCATACAATTAAACAGACAGTAACAATTAATCGTGGGAGAGGCTTGCATAAGCAGTTTTCCATGTTGGCAGCTAACATGTTTTGAGTCTGTGCCCATCACCATAGAACCAGAGCTTGATACATCATTTGTAGCGTCAGTGTTATGAGAAGACAATAACTTGTTATGTCTCTCCCTGTTTCTTGAATGCAGTCAAGTCTGTATTATTTCTGAGTTACTGTGAGTTCCCGTGGAACGGGATTTCTTAGTAATCATCTTCAGAGCTGCACCGTTTTGTGATTTATTGTGTCTCCACACCTTACTTCTTCAGACTTTTAGTGAAATCAAGGTTTCAGTGTCGCAAACACATTTCATCATGTTTGATGACTGATTTTGTACACTGCTGTCCTGTTGCATCTTTGAGTCTAATGGAACCAGAAGCAGCTGCAGCCTGAAGTGTCAGTGCTTTGCATCTTGCTTGGTCCTCCTTGATAGCTTTCTCCAGCAGGTGAAAGCCTGTACCAACTGTTGTGTTTGGTTTTTTAACAGCCTCTTGGTTGAGCCTTGCAGTACTGCAGTCTGTCTTCTCAGGAATATGTTACTTACAGGTGTCATTCCAGGTAGAAAAATGGTTCCAGCTGATGAAGACTAGACTTGGACTTGATGTTTTCAGTGCCAGTAGCAATGACTAGACATCAGTAGCCTGCTCTCCTCTATATACTCTGTGATCACCTTTAGGATCTGTGCCTTCCTCTGGAACTAACATATTTTTCAGTATGCAAATCATTAGTGATAAGATTTAACTTGAAACAAAAAATCCATAAAGCAAAGCTTTTTCAGCTCATATGATGTCACCTTTGGGAACAGTGTCTTCTTACCAGTCTGCTCAAACTGTGATGGCAACAGATTCTCTCTCTGAAAATTAGCAGTATGGGTAAAATGAAAAATGAATATGTAAAATTTTTCCTTAAATTAAAAAAAAAAAAAAAAAGAGGGATGAGCTGACCTTGAGAGGTATATTAAAATGAAACTAAATGCAGAGAACCCCAGAACTTTAGAATGCATAATCCATGACCTGCATAGAAAAGAAGACGTCGGACTTGATTCCTGACTTTAGAAACTGAGTATTAATTATTTAGAATAAACAGGAAAGAACTTAATTTTCAAGTCTGGTGATACACTGAGAACAAACCCAGTCCAATCCTCTGCCCAAACTGTTTCTTCATTTTATCCAACAACTCTTTGTGGACTTTCATTTCCCAATGTCCCGGTTCCCTCTCCCTCCCTTGCCAGAAGGTCATTTACATGCTAAGTATAAAATCAGGTTCCTTTTGGTTTATTCTTCCTTGTGGCATTTGATACAGTCACCCAGCTTGATAAGGGATGTTGCTGAAAGGCACATTGCCTGGTGATTGGGACACTCTCTTGGGAAATGGAAGTGGTGAATTCAAACCCGACAGGACTGAGGTGCGTGTAGGGTTCAGATTTCTTATAGCTTCTACAAGATCATTAGGAAATACTGTTACACAAAACATGGTTGCAGCTCCCTTCTTTAGCATTTAATAGTGAAAGTAGTTAATCAGCTTCGTGCTAATCTGTGCTCCCAATGAGTTAGGTGTGGTCTAAGTATGCTTATCAGATTTGGCCCCTCTGGGGATCTAAGAAGCCTTCTGACATTTGTGACAGATCCTTTGTACTAAGGTTCTGACCAGCTATTGTTCATCTGTTTTCTAAATCTTTTTGGTAGCCAGTTTACCAACAGCCGGTAGGTCTTGGACTCTTGGGCATGTTAACTAGGTCCAGACATCACAGCACCCCCCCAACCCCGGAGGCTCCACACGAAGACTGGATGTGCAGGAATCTGGTATTAGCTGTAGAAGAAACAAACTAGTTGATTTCTGAAGTAATGAACTGTTTTTTGCTTTGGGCATTGGAGGTACACAGAGTAGTACTTAATATTTTATAAGCGTAGATTCAGCAATTTACAAGCTTGCTTGTGTCTCAGGGTGGCGAACCATTCCCTAAATAATCTTTCAAATGTATGCTCTCTCTAGCTTCTGATTTTTTAACCTTATCTCTTGCTCCTGTAGGATAGCCCAGAGAAATTGGTCCCTGACGCCCAAAATCCCATTTTCTCCTACCCCAGGAACTCATTTTCTTATTAATTTCCAGCGAAGAGCTAAATGTCTGTGCTGAACTCTTGTCAATACTGGGCCGGCATCCTTAAGCTTTTTCTCTGTTGTGTAGCTGCACATGCTAGGAGTGACAGACCGAGCCACTTGCAACGTAGCCTTCAGGCTGATGAGGTGGCAACTAGGTACTCACCTGCTTGGTCTGGGACACACCAAGTGTGAGTGGATGTCTGTGCTGGGACACCGGGAAACCTTCCCAGAGGAGGTGGCTGCTTGACCCCAGCAGCTCCTTCGGAGTTCTGCGGAGCGTGAGAGCCATCTGGTGCCTGACATCTGGAAACGGAGCTAGCCTAGCCAAGTCCTCACCAACACACTGCCATTAGCTGTAAACTGCTCTGGAAAGCACTGACAGGATCTGTCAATGAGTCATTTTACACGATAACCCGTGTGTGCACACTTGTATCTGTGATTATTTCTCTGTATGCATAATTATTTCTTGTGGAAAGACGTTGGTGTGCAGAATTCTGTAGGTGCACTGCAAGTTTGTGCTTGATTGTGTTTTAAGTACTTGGCTGTAGCTCATTGAATGTGCAGGCAGTGAGGTGAACATGCTGACAGGAAGTGTCTGTGTAAAGAGGCTAGTAAAAATTATTTGGTATCTTTAAAGAAAAATCTTTAAATGAGTGATAATGTTGAAAACTAATTCCACACTGGAAACTATAAAATAGCTTCAAAATAACAATCATTCTATCCTGGCAATGCAAGACAAATAGCAGATCTGTAATTAATTAAAATAAAACAGAGGACAGGAAATTCCATGGAGACAATTAGATCTTGCGACTTGCTAAATTTTAGAAAATCTGGGAGTTGCTACTAAAAAAGGAATACATTGTTTCAGCACTTGCTGTTCTCTACTTATCCATCTGCACTACCATGGCTATAACCCTCAATACAGATTAAAATGCATGTGTTCAAGAGAGCTAATAATTCTGCTCACAGATTATAAAGATAAATTTATTAATATCTGTAGTAAATGAAGACCTACAGATAAAGGAGCATGGAAAATTCTGAGGAGTAGACCAGTATAGAGTTTGGACGTTGGCCCATAAATGAGGCATAAGACCAGAGGTTGAATAATGAAAAGAAAACAAGTTTTGGAATGCTGAACTGACAATACATGCTGCACTGAATGAGATGTGTGTAGAATAGTATGTGATCATCTCATAACTTGAAACATAGGAAGTGGAATTGTATGGACAACCTTAATTGTGGCACTTCCAACCATCTCTGTACCTGCAAAGAATCATCAAAAGAAGCAGCCTGGATAGACATGGATTAACCGCTCAAATATTACCCAGCTTTTTGCGTAGTTTTTACACCAGATACCAACTCTGCTGGCCTAGCTTCAGCTACCGACATGTGAGGTGGTAAGCCAGCCGTCATCTTGAGATCAGAAACCAACATGAATCCACAATTTCACATCAGGTTGCATAGCCAAGGCAAGTCCTGTAATCCTCAGACGGTGGAATATTTGGAACTTTATTTACTTCTGGAAGAATTTCTGTGCTTGAAGAGTAAATCACTGATACCTGCAATAGGAAAAATGCAACAAAATATCTGTTGTGTCACTAGAGCATGAAGAAACATAATTTCATTGTGCTGAGAGGGACTGGAGAGCAAGGACTCACAAGTACCAACTTGTTGCTCCATAGATTTGTAACTGCTAACTTATCACATATTTAATTTTTGTGGTGTCAAGGTGGAGAATTTAACCCACCATTTTCTTCCTACTCACAGTTTGGGTGGCAGAGAATGAAGATACATAGTAACCTCTTTCCACACTTGTGTGTGCATAGATACTACAAGTGCAAGGTGGTTGCATCACAATGATGAAATACTTTACAATTCTAGGCATTGTGTGGCCAGCTGTTTTGACATGCAATGGCAATTACCTTGGCATCTGTGTTTAGCAAAGGTGGATCTGTCCTAATAAGCAATGTAACAATTGAGCTGAGATTAATTTTTTTCCTTCGTGTTTTGGATAGTCACAGAAATTATTTTGGCAGCTTCCGTGCTGTTTACATACTTTCTCCCCAGATTCGGAGTAAACAAGTTGATTATTTATCTGATTACAAAAAGGCGCAACCTACTATGTCTCTGTCTTCCCTGAATACAACCAAATGCTTCTCAGAGAGGAACTATAGAATATCGCTAAGAAGACATTCAGTTATGTTTGTGCGGTTCTCCCTCACTCCATCTGCGTTGCCAGTCCCGGATCCTTGCAGGCTGCCATCTTGTGCAGTTCACATTTCTGTACCTCCCTCTGTGTCAGGCGTTTCCCTTTAACACCAGATTTGTAAGTACACCTAATTCCCTCCTACAGATTTTACAACCAAGTCCAAAGCTACTGCTTGCCTATGCACATAGCCTGATGGTGATTATTACTCATCTCAGAAATACTGAAAATGCCTTCAGTCTTGGGGGTGGTGGTGGGGATTTTATCTGTGTTATCATGCTGATTTGGTGTGTATTATGGGGATATGCATATTGGTGATTACTCATATATTGCATGCTTTAAAATGTTTTTTGCTATGGTGAGGTTTTATTTTTTGATGTAAAAAGAGAAGAAAAATTCTACAAAGAGACGAACAAAACAAGGGTAGCAATTAATGTGTTTGGTTTTTTTAAAAAGGAAGATGAAAAACACATCATCTTCCCAAGTAATAGCAATTGAAAATCAGAATTCAGCAGACCACGCTAATCTTAACTTAGTATTTCTTGCCTAGATTCTAATGTATTAATAGCTAGGAAATAGTTAATTGAAATACACTCTGCATACCAGTTCACTGTATTCACGAAAATATTTTAATAGCCCTTTATGAAGTTTACAGTGTGGTTCACTATTTTACTTGATGATGGAAAAGAGAAAATACCATAACCAAAAAATCCCAGTGTGCAGTGGAAGCCTTTTTCCATGTGGTACCAGGTCACTTTTACATTGTTGTCCTCTAACCGTCTCTTGTACAACAATCCATCATCTCTGAGTACATCATGCTCACATGTAATCATACAGGTATCAGGTAGGCGGCAAACAACAGCATCTTCTGCTAAGAGTGGGGAAAATCTTGTCTCAAACAGTTCTTTTGTTTCTTCATGGACGTGAGGTAAAAACAAAGTGGGTAAAGGTGCTTTATAGCTCAGCTTAAATACCTCTGGGATAAGATCTGGATTTATCCATTTCCTATATTTCAAATTCATACTCTCTGGAACATGAGAACCTGCCAAAACAGCTTCCTTCATAGAGCAATCCTTTTTCAAGTATTTCAGAATAAAATGGACTGCACGTTCCCGGGTCAAGAAGGCAGTGAAAGCATTTTTCTGATGAGATGGCAGACTAAAGTTCAGTGCTTGGAGAAGTGGATAGATCAGTACCTGGGCACATATCTTTGGGATATCCTGTCTATTTACCAGTTGTTGGCAAACACTAGCAGTAAAAGTGCCCCCTGCACTATCCCCACAAACAATAATCCGATCAGGATCCACCCCATAGTTTTCTGCAGTCTTCAAAAAGTGTACAGTAGCAGTGAGACAGTCCAAAGGTTGGGCTGGATAGTTATGCTCAGGAGATAAATGATACCTGAAATGTACAAAAGACAGCTATTATTACAAATACATGTATTTGTAAATAGCTTGAAAGTGTCATCTTAAACGCATCCCGTGCATTTGCAAAAACTCACCAAACCCAGTATTACTTATTTAGTTTAAAGTTTTGCATGCTGAGGCAAACCGGAACAGCTTCCCCTCCCATTTCTGTCAAAATACAGACCCCATTGATCACTGAAGTTTATTCCAGCATATTTAAGAGCATGAGGTCTTGCGTAGTGTGGTCCAATCACCCACATTATTCAAAGCCACACATTTACTCAATTCCTGGTCTGAGTGCACCTGCCTGGGACCAAAATTCATGCCAGCAGGGAAATCTGCAGTTCTCTCATTTGGACTGACCTTGCATGTATGTACAGCTATGAGTCAATCCTGCTTACCCACAGGATTCAACCACGTTCTGGCTCCTGGGGGCACTGATTGTTGTATTATTATATAGTAGTACTGTGTTGTATATTATTATTACATTTAAATATAAAAAGA